TTTATATTGTGAAATTGGAAATTTGTTAATCATACGTTTTCAATAAAAGAACTTGGTAAATTTGTTTGAGTTAGCTCTAGCTTGACTCTTAAAAACGATACTCCATTTCTTTTTTTATTCGACTCAAATGAAATATGATGGACCCCCCCCCCTCTGTCGAGAAGAGGAGAAAAGAGAATCTACGAGCGGGAAAGTTCTTCTCTAACCCCCTTTCGGTTATGCACCGTTTAGCGTCGACATAGAAAGTAGAAAGAGGGATAACAAGTGGTAGGAACGAAATTATTGGATGATATTTCGACCGACGGGATCGTATCTCATAAATCATTTTCCGCTTTCGTTTCGTAAAGAAACGGGACGACGACGACAACGACGACGACAACGTTCCTGCTTCCTTCGAATATCGTAATCTTATACTTAAGACGTTGGGCTCGAACGGAAACAGTGATGGGGGTTTGAATGAGGGGACGAGGAGTTAAAGGGGAAGGAAAAATCGTCTCGTAAATCGACATGATTCCCGATCGTTTCGCCGATTGAGAAATAAAGTTAGGAGTCGGTAAATTGGATGAAAGAGGAGACAAACAGAGGGTTGGAAAATTCGCGTGGTGGAGATAAGTCAAAGAATCAGAGTAAGAGAAAAAAAAAGATCAAAGAGGGAGAGTAAAAAAAAAACAAGAGTATCGATGTATAAAAAAAAGATAAACACAGGAAATGACAAAATCCACTTGTTACTTTGATGTTTATCCCGTTGACACATTGGGTAATAGTTTGATTGTAATAAAACAAATAGGAGAATGATAAAAAAAGAAATGGAAAGAGGGTTGTGAGACGTCTTGGAATGAAGTAGCCCGCCGAAAGGGATAAACTAGAAATCGTTGACTCCAGTAGTTCGCCGATTGTAAGCAAGAAAAGAGCTTTATAGTAGAGTGATAAAGAGAAATGGCAGTCAACGCGTCGGCCGTTGCCAGGGCAATGAATCGCAGATTGACGCAAGCGTCACGACGTCCGGTCGCGCGCATCAAGCTCTCTCTTTTACCACCACCAACAACTACCAACATCATCCCCCGCTATCCTCTCTCTCTTTCTGTCTCTATCCACCCTTTCCGGAGCGTGCCACTGCTTAAAGTATGCACCACAATAGACGTGCTGTTCTCCGATCGAGATGCCGTAGAGAAACGGACTGCTCGGGGCTTACAAGATTTGCCGTACTATCCCACCATCACGTTCTTATTGTTATTAATCATTTCCGTAAGCTTTATACTATTCCTTACCTTGTACGATTTTTTTTTATTCTTTTTGATATCCTTATATCCTTCTTTAGTATTATAGAAACTTTTTAGAAAAAGGATTTGTTGTTGTTGTTGAAGACTAAGCAACAAGAGACCCATTTAAAGTAAAATATTCCTAACGAGTCGAGTTCTATGAAATTTTTAGTTAAATTACCAATTTCCAATAATTTCTTGCAAGTTTCATAGATTGCAAAGTTCTTTGAGAAACTCTAACAATTTTTGTTAATGGAATAACTCGATATGGTAGAGCTTTATGATCAATGTTGTCATCGTTTCACGACGAAATCAATTTTCCTATTCTATTACTGGTAGAGAGACGTTATAATTCTAACGTAGAAAACAAAGCGAGAGTCTCTCTCTCTCAAGGTGCGAGAATTGTTAAATCAATAAGCCGCCGAAGTAGTTTCTAAACGTTACATAAGATTGCATACCGATTTGGAAAGGTTATTTCGCTAACACGAAACTTCATTCGTTCACAACTGAACGAGGGTAAAATGTTCTAGTCGTACATATTATATATCCTATCCCTATCCCTATTCCTATCCAACGCTTGTAAGTTTTATTAGCGTTACGGTCATAAATCTTGAACGCTTCGGCTCGACGAAAGTGTTTACTTTTATGACTGCAACGGCACTGCAAAAGCATGCCGTTGCAGTCATAAATGAAAAGCATTGAAATAATAGCGCACAAAATCCTTAGATAGATTTATGATATAAAGAGATACTATATTCTAGGACGGTTTGTTAAATGCATCGATTTTAATTCGAATTGGTTGGTCTACTACTAGAAGAGGGTTTGCTCGTATTATTCGGCACAACGCGAACAAACGTTGGATTTACACCCGAACGCTGTGACCTACTTCCGTAAACCAAAATCAAGGTCTCGCGCGAGTTCATTGAAAGAGAGGGAGGCGCGTGCCCAAAATTTCCAACTAAAATTTCTCCCTCTCTCTCTCTCCTTCACTTTTTATCTTTCCGATAGACGCTAATTTGATTTGACAAAAAAAAATCATGTAGAAGATAATTTATTTGAATCAATTCTTTGATATAGTTTTAATATGAAATAAATCCAGACATAAGGAGTGTTCCGTGAAATTGTCGGGAATAAATTGGAAAGGTATTGAAGAAAAAGAAAAAGAAAAAGAAAAAGAAAAAGAAAAAGAAAAAGAAAAAGAAAAAGAAAAAGAAAAAGAAAAAGAAAAAAAAATGATATTTCTTTCTCTCAACCCAATTGTCGAGTAGGAACAGGCGATAACAACGAAACTACCTTCGGCAAACTTTCTTCCGAGCGAGCGGATCACACTACGGAGGCGAGATGCGCACTTTAATACATAACGCGCATCCCCAGGGTAAGACGCGACTTGGTATGAGAGAAAGAGAAAGAGAGTGGAGTAGGAAGAGAGGGTGGAAGAAGAAGAAGTAATAGTAGTAGCAGTAGTAGTAGAAGAAGAAGAAGTAGAAGAAGAAGAAGATAGAGAAGCGGCAGTGCTGTCGTCGTCGTTGTTCGTGAAGATGGTCGTAGGAGGGTGGTAGTTGAGAGAGTTCGGAAGGTGGGAAAAAGTTGGATAAAAGTTGAAGGAGAAGTAAAGAAGTATGAGAGAGAGAGAGAGAGAGAGAGAGAGAGAAAGGAAGGAAGGAAGGATATAGGAAGAAAGGAAAGGGAAGGAGGCACGTTAGCCGTGGCGGGTGGAGAATCGGAATGAAAGGAGGGATAGATTTGGCTAGAAGAGGGTTGAAGTGGGGTGGAAGGAGTAGACTGAGACGACGGTGTGCGTCGTTGTCGGCGTCGTCGTTTCTCTGCTGCCACCACCTTCGTTGCTCGTATATTCGTGTGTTAGTAGTGGTGATGGGGTAGTGGTGGTGGTCTCGACGCCGGGAAAGTTTCGTCGAGGAGCGAGCGCGTGGAGCCGAAGGAAGGAGAGAGAGAGAGAGAGAGAGAGTAAGAGGGATGAAACGAGAGTTTGGATCGAGTCGGGAGAGCGCGGTAGCGACGAGAGAAAGAGAGAAAGAGAGAGAGAGACGGTGATAGAGGAACGCGGTGCGGCGGAGGCAAGGTTTTCGTCTCCAGTTCCCGCTAAGCGGCCGACAGGAATGGAACGATCGGGTTTTCTACGGTTTGCAACGTACACGTGGGCTTAGCGTGGAGTAGCGTGCGGGTTTCGCCACGCGGGACGCTTCTCTACACGCGACTTTCAGAGTATTAGTAGTAGTACTTGGTGGTGGTGGTGGTAGTAGTAGTGATGGTGGTGGTGTTGGTGGTGGTCCGTAGTAGTGGATGCGCTGTAGATGCCGGGGGTTATTGGTGGTGGTTATAGAAGTGGTAGTAGTAGTAGTAGAGGTTTTGTGACCGACCGAGCGCACGACGGCCGGTAATGACGACCATCAAACGAGTAAAAGAAAGAAAGAAAGAGAGAGAAGAAGATTGATAGATAGTGTGACATGGTTAGGGGAGAGAAAGGAAAAGAAAATCAGCGAGCATGGCTCGAGATCGAGAATGAGAAGGAGGAGGATGAGGATGAGGATGAGGATGAGGATGAGGAGATAGGTGAAAATGGTTCGCGCACGAGTTGACGCGTGTCACCACCGCGATGCACAAGTTCACGCGTGGCACTACGCGGTGACCGCGCGCGATGCTGCCCGTCGAACGCGAGGTCTGTGACTCTCCTCTGCCACCTCCACCTCCACCTCTACCTCTACTTTCGAGCGGCTCCTCTCCTACTCTCTCGCCAATTCTCCTCTCTCTCTTTCTCGTGTTCTCTCTACCCCTAGTGAGATATTGATTTCCCTTAGCTGACTCCCACGAGAGCAGGCGGCAGGCGACCAGGTACCGCTACCTCCGCGACTAAATCGAAGATCTTAGAGAGATGAGAAAGAAACTAATCGCATACACTGTGCGCATACGATTAGTTAGTTTATTCAGATCGATCAACGCGCCCTATATCGAGCTATTTATTTACTTTTACTCTTTTTTGTTTACCCCCCATTTTTCGATCCACGTCGTAGATACATCGACGATTTTTTTTTACCGGTGACCACGTGTCACCCGTGACCGCGCCACTTCTACTACAGTACTACTACTGCTACTACTGCTGCTACTCCTACTACTACTACTCTTACTACTGTTACCACTACTACTTGGTATTTCATGCTTGCCTTCTTTCTCCCACGCGATCGAAAGATCATATCTCGAAGATGGGTTTTATAATACCCCGTACCGAATATAAATTTAACTGGTTTTATCGCGATTTACAGGTTAATCGAAAAATCACCGGGTTAGCTTATATCGCGAATGATGTATCTACATTGTTGAAAAGTTTCAAACAAATGGAAGGTAGCATATAAACTTTCTTTTTTGTTTTTTTTTTTCACTCAGATATCAATTATTTTTGTTCGTTCAATCGATAAACTAATTTCAATGGTTGAAAAATAAAATTCGCGTTTCGTAGCTTTTAGTACTTATCCTTTTTACATAGTTCATATCCCGCGCTTAGAATAAATAGGACTTGTGCGAAACATATAACTTTTTTAACGTGTGTAACATGTACGTAACATAAGGATGGTACGTCGAAGAATTTATTTGATTTTCTCCGGAAGAGCAACAGCATATTCTCTGTAACTTTTGCTTTTATCAAATGCACGTGTATATATAGGTGTGTTGGCGCACATAAATATCCAAGAACGATCCGAATCCGTACGCAACCCCCTAGAAAGTTTTGCGAAGTCCGCCACCATGTTGGTTCCTGCGCGTTGCACGTCGCCAAAGTCCTTCGGCGGACTTGAAACTTTTTTATTTACCGCGTTTGTACGCGTAGGTACACACAGAGAGACGCGGGACAAAAGAGAAAGTGGTGGGGGTAAACCCTTCCATCCCCTCCAATTTGTTTCTTTCTCTCTCTCACCCTGTGGAAAGTCGAGATAGGGTATATAAGTATCTCTCTGTCATCCCTACCACCACTACCACCCACCGGCTTGCTACACGGACTCGTGCCGCCTGCCGCTTTCTAGCAAAGTTTTCGCGAGATCCTGGAAACTGCGGGAGATGCTACGGGCGTAGAGGGAGTACGCTCGAAGGAGGGTAGAAGGAAGGAACGTTTTGCTGCTAGTCCTCCGTGTACTCATACTCACGGGGGGTTCTCTTTTCAGCGGATTCTAACCTACTAACGAGTTTACTCCGTCGGTAACACCGGCACGCGTGCCGCCTATGTAAACGTGTGTCGTTGTCGTTGCTTCGTTGTCGTCGTGTGTAGTCACCCACAGTCACACGCACAACATTGGGATGAGGAGTGTGTTAGCAGCAACACGCCGCGCGAAAAATCATACTCGTGATATGACTAACGATCGTATCGATCTTAATACGAACGATAAGAAACGCGAGCTTATGTGATAAACGATTTTAAAACGCGTACCTCGTCGGCTCACTTTTTAAGAGCTTGTTTAACAACATTATCGAGGTATGAATGAACAAAGTGTTTAATCTTTTTTAGTTTTTTTTTTCTTTTATTTTTTATCTATTCTTCTTCATTTTATTCTTATCACTGAAAGCTCATAGGATTAGTTTTTCTCGTTATGAGCGAAAATGCGATGTAGCGTGGGGGAAATACACCTGGAGTTTAACCCTCGTCCTACAATCATTGGTGCCGGATATTACCGTGTAAATACGATTGATGTAATTACGATGATGCGTTGTTTTTAAAGTTTTCTTTTACAAACATTCGTCATACTTTTTATTCATTCCTTCAAATGCACTTTTATGCAATGTTATCACTTTGATAAATTAGATAAACGATTGAATAGAAATATATTATCAATAATCTGTCCTATAAAAGGAATATTCTTAATACATATTTAAAAATCATTTACTGATCGTAATTTATTTCTAATTAAATCAATGCTCGTGCGAGAGAGAAAGAGAGAGAAAAAGAAAGAGAGAAAGAGAGAGAGAGTGCATCTTATGTCAGAGCGATGCGGGTCAGCTGATCGCCTAGCGGATAGGCTATATAACTTTGCTTGTTGTGAGAGAGAGTATCAACGCTTTTGATTATCGGGATTCCTCAGCGCGCAGGCTCAATGCGAGATTAATCCTCTGTGCGCGAACTCCTTCCATTAAGCAACTTACCAATACACTGGTTCATTCCTTGTATGTTCGAAACTTTCGTGCGGCGACCAAAAGTTTTCTGCTTATCTAGTCAAACGAGGATAATCAAAAAACAATCATCAAGTAATAATCTTTAGGATGTTTATGATGACGATGATGACGTGAAAAATATTTACCAGTTAAAAGTTTTTCATTCAGAATATTTTAATTCATCGTTTATTCATTACTGTCAGGATAATCGGTTTTGGTTAACAATGCTGCATCAAGGTATTGTTTAAAAAAAAAAAGAAGCCTGGTAAACTAAAAAGCTATTCTTTGTGAATATTCTTAATTGGATAGAATTTTGCTCGTTTATTGTTTTAATAACTTACAAAATAAGAAAAGTATCAATGTTATCCAAACAGCAGAGACCTGAAAGTTTCGCGTAAAGTCTAGCGAGGGAGCCTGGAAGGAATAGGCGAGAGTTTCTCGTTTGAAAGTTGTTTCAGTTTCAAGTTATATTCCAGTCGTTCGAATTCGTACGTATTACGTAGAAATATCGCAGAGATGTATGTGTGTGTGTGTGTATCTGTCTAGATCGTCTCGCAATAGTTGAAAATTTCGAATGTATTATTATTGTATCCTTCGTTTAACAGTACTTGGAAATTCGAGTCGGTGCGCGTAGCAAACGGGAGTGTGAGCGTAAATGAGAGTAGGAGAGAGAGTAAGAGAGAGAAAGCCTAATTAGGCCGTCATCGTCCTGGTTGCGCGTTGTAATTCTGCGTTGCCGGCATTGTGCTTCGAATTCTGCCAAGTGGCTGTTAGCAAAGAGGCTTTTGGAATTCTTCGAAGCGTGGTCCAAGGCCTTTCAACCTCAATTCCACGCGCGTGCGTCTCTTACCCCCGTTGACGTCGTCATCTTCGTCAGAGAAAGAAAGAGAGTTGTTGTTGTCCTCTTAGTCCTCGCTGAAATCAACGACAAAGTCCAAATCGTGGACTCATTGTTTTCTCGTTGCATCTCATAAGAACTCGTTAGATGAGAAGTTAATCTTCTCCTGCTCGAAGGCTTCAGCTGCCGCACTCGCACTCGCGCACACCTTCTGTCGTTACCGCGCGAAAATCCAACGTGCCGAGAGAAAGAGAGAAAAACAAAAAGGAAAAAAGGGTTGCAGGAAAACGTGCGTCAACCTCGGCCGTATAACGCGCACTTTTGTGCTTTTCTTTCAGAAGGCTTTTTTTTTAGTTTGTTTGAGCGCGCGCGTGCTTTCTCCCTTTCTCTCGTACTCCTTTTACTTTTACCTTTATTTATTTCTTTTCTTTCCTTGTTCTTTTCTTTTCTTTTCTATCCCTGCTTCTTCTTTCATTACTGCGCAGAGGCTTGTAAAAAAATAAAAAAATAAAAATAAAAAATATGTCGCTAGACGTAACGTGTATCCATAATAAAATCCCAAGCGCTACGTAGAAAAAGAAGCTTGTTAAGTGCATCCTAAACCTTGTCTTTATTCAGAAGCTTCAAATGTTAAAAAAAAACAAAAAAACTACAAAGCTGTGTTTCCGTGACACACGGGCCCCGTGTCTTTCTTGTCTAATTCAATAGGGTTGGTTTTTAACCCTCTCATTTCTATATATGTAATTCCTATTGTACCGACGTTATTTCCTCCCCCGGTTACGACGTGTGTATAAGAACGCTGCACACACATATACACACACGATGAAAAATGTATGAATACATTTGTATGTGAGAACTCGAGTTTACACCGACGATTCTTCCCGTTGCTCTTTATCACGAGAAAATGCTCTTTCTCTCGTATTCATTTTACAGGCAGATTTACCGAGATGAGTCTTCTTATGAGTACGATAAGTGTGTAGATAGGTCGCGTAAGTTGCCTGATTATACCTATGTCTATAACTGTAGATGGACGCTATTTTTCTATTCAATTATAATACATTTTTATATGTAATTTAACACATCTTAAGCAGGAAGCGACAAAAGTTGTTTTTTATTAATATTATTTTTAATATTATTTTTAAATATTTTTAATAATAAATATATTTTTAATAATAAATATATTTTTAAATATAAATATATTTTTAGTAATAAAAATTTAATTTTATTACTTTAAGTATTATTTTTTATAAAAATATATCAAATATATTAAATTTATATTTTAAATTTAATATTATTAATTTTAATAATTTTAATTTTAATTTTTATAATATATATATTAATAAAATATTATAAATTTTTTATAAATTATATTATAACATATATTTATAATATATAAATAGAAAATATATTTTAAATTTTATATAAAAAAATTTATTTAAGTGTTTGCGCAAGATATGTTAATTAACGTTTCACCATTTATTAATTAATGTTTATCGAAACGAAATAGAAATTATAAAACAAAGAGAGATAATTATTTTTCATTATATTATTTAATTAGATATAATTATATTATTTGATCATTTTCGAGCAATAGAATCACGCGATAACGTTTTCTCATCGGGCAGTCGATGAAAACGTGCTACGAATTTTGATGCCACTGGTTACGGACTCTGATCTAAAGTCGAGGAAAAGGAAGAAGTCTCGTAGTTTTCGTGTATTTGAAACAATTTAGATTTCGTTCGTTCATTTATCGTTTATGCGGTTTAATAAATCACTTGTATTTTAATGAAGATAAGTAAAATGTTGATTTAATTAACATAGTTATATTTCGTTAATGGTTTTGTGTAAGTATAAATGTGTCTTTCTCATCTGTGTGCACATGTATACTATTCTCATATTTATATACATAATTTTCTCGTTTTCTAGGTTACGTGAGAAGAATACTACCGATCTTTGTGTTAGATATAATACGAAAGAATAGATAGAAACTTTGAAAATGTCTTCAATTTGTAGAAATATCGTTTCGCAAATTTTACATTGGATTTGTAAAAGCGGATTTATTTCGTTCAATAAACGTTAATGCGATTTTGGTATATTATTTTGCTACCTACGAGTCAGATGAGAATCAAATAGAAAAGATCATATTTTTTTTTTTTACAAAAAATACAGACATTTGATATTAGCGAATACATTCGGCATTAGGAACTCGAAAGTTCATTGCAGCAAATACGCAAATCCCGCCAGTGTTCTCGTCCCTGAGCTTGACCACGTCCATTCGTGGTTTTCGTAGCCCATTTCTTTAAAATCCCGAAATAATATTGTCTTCCCATCTACTTCTCGGTCTACCCAGTAGTCTTTTCCCGTTGGTATACTGACCAGTATTTTATGCACCGTTCGATCCACCCCCATGCGCGCCACATGACCTGCCTACCTTAATCGGCGTGATTTTACGACGTTAATGATGTCCGGTTTGTTGTACAGTCGGTGTACTTCAACGTTATGGGGTTTACTCCATTCACCCGTTTCCTCCTTATTGTCCCCATTGTCCTGTATATCCTGATTTTGAAGTGCCTAGACATCAACCAAGAGCTGAGTAATTTATTGACATTGTCTAAATTGATTCTTTTCTTAAGTTCTTGGTTTATGATCGATCCTAAATACCTAAAGTTGCTGACCCGTTCAAAAATTTGATCCTGGACGACCAAAGTTTCAGTATTAGACACATTCTGAATTCTAATGATGTTTTGTTAAATATATTTTATCGATATCCTGTCAATTTGTAAAAATAACAAGGTTGAAATGGTATTGTACAATCGACACACAAATTCTTTAGGAATTCAACTTTAGCTAGTTGACTTTTGTGTATCCGTTAAACGTCGTTTCGAAGTTTGTCTCTCTTGTGAAAGTTTGACAACGTAACCTTTCTCGCACGTGTGTGTAGTAACGCGCCTGATTCACGAGAAATCGAGATACTTTCTTTTCACAGTGTAAACTAGAAAACAAACAGGATACCACCCTTATCTTAGGAAATGTCTTCGTGAACTCATGTGTATTCGATATGTACCTTCTATCTAAAATGCTCGTCTATATTTACGTAGAATTCAGCGTGAGTGTATGTATTTGTGTGTGCTTGTAAGAGAAAAAGAAAAAGAAAAAGAGAAATGTTTGATAAAGAAGCGATTTTCTTTTTTCGCTCAGTAGAATTTTTCATAAGTTTTTCGATTTGCTGCCTCCCTCTTCGTCCTATCTCCATCTTCGTTTTAGTCTATGTTTTTTATCGGTATATCTAACTGTGTGTTCTTCTTCCTCTCTTTTACTTTTGCTCCGGTTACACGATTTTAGGATACCAATCGATCTTTGGAAGACGCGCGGATTCGAATCTGGAACGGTGAATATTTTTTTTATCTAGTCGACTTGTGCTGCCACCAATACACCAATTTACAGAAAAATGCAAATTTTCAAAAACGATTACATTTTTTGTTTGTTTG